CGGAGACCTCCGCTCGCCCCTGCCTTATCACCCTGCGGCGCCCCGCAGGTTATGCAGGCGCAGTTCGCGCAGGACAACAACCCCGACGCACAGACTCTGCAGAAGCTGGCGGATATGACGGGCCTCAGCCGGAGGGTCATCCAGGTGGGGCCCGGGTGGGTGGGGCCTTCAGGTCTGGGGCGGGGACTGGGGGAGCCCTAGAGCTAGTGGGGGGGAGGGGGTGCACGTGGCCACCTTCCTCAGGAGGCCACGAAGCAGCCCCGCCTGGGGTCCCCGGGCCGCAGAACTGGTCCTTTTCCGCGAGGCTGAGGCTGCTGAGGCTGTTGTTCCAGGTGTGGTTTCAAAACTGCCGGGCACGTCATAAAAAGCACACACCGCAGCACCCAGTGCCGCCCTCAGGGGCGCCCCCGACCCGCCTCCCCTCCGCCTTGCCCGACGACATCCACTACTCCCCGTTCAGCAGCCCCGAGCGGGCGCGTATGGTCACCCTGCACGGCTACATTGAGAGTAAGTGACCGCGACACGGGGACCGCGGGGCCTGCGGGGAAGGGGACGCTGAGGGATGCGCGGGGGCGCCGAGGTGTGGGGAGGCCTAGCGGAGCATCCTGGGTGAAGATGTGGGTCCGGAAATCACCCCGATCTAGGAGTTTCAGGGAAGGAGTAAGTTCCCCGTGGTGCCTCAATGGGGCGGCAACCTTGGTAGAGCAAGAAATGTAGCCATTCTCAAAATGGCACCTCTGTGCCAGGGCCGAGAGACTAAGGAAGGAAGGAGATCAGCAAGGCTCTTGCTGTGTGGAGCCTGCATGGAATAACAGAGTGTGTGATAGTGGGGTGGCCTCTGCAGGAAAGGTGCTTGTGAGAGTGTCTGGAGATGCTGGTGGAGAGGAAAAATCAGTAGGAGTTAGTGAGGCTTGTGGACTAGGCTCGAGGAAAGGGAATGTGGGCAAACTGTGGGCCCAGAGAGCTTCCTGGGTGTGTGTTGGGGAACAAGCCAGTACGGCAGGACTGTGAGGCCTTGGGCAGATCGCCTCACCTCCTTGAACCTCGGTTTCTCATCTATAAACAGGGATGTTGATCATGCCTCTCAGAGGGTGAGGATGGATTCAAGAGCCCTGTAAAAATGTTAAGTATCCCCAGTGTTTTTAGCACAGGGATACAACAGTGAACACAATAGACCAGCTGCTGTGCTCCTTGGGACTGACGTTCCAGAATAGGAGATGGGTGGACAATAAACTCCTAAATGTGGGAGGGCTGCTGTGGATGGGCAGTGAGCACGACAAGAGGAATGTGGGGCCAGTCGTGGTGGTGACCTTGGAACAGGAACCTGGAGGAGTGAGAGAGTAAGCGTTCAATGACAGTGAGTCTGCTCTCGAGCAGAGCAGGTACTTATCACAGATTTTCTTTCCCTTTGGGTCTGTGTCCTCAAAGCTGGAGATGACAAAAACAAACAATCAGAAGTCAAATACCCTCCCTTCTCTGGCTCCAACTAAAAGGGGCAAAGAAGGAAAGTGAGAGAGAACTGCTGCTTACTGACACTGTATTTCTTGTCCTCTCTACGCATCGCAGATCACTGTCCGTTTAAATGGATGAGGAAACCAGGGGCCCACTGTTAGTGAGAGCCAATACTTTTTACTGATCAAATATGGGCTTTGGTGTCAGGCTGCCATTTACTAGCTGGGTGTCATTGGGCACATTTCTTAGCTTCCTTAAATATCAGTTCCCTCACCTGGCAGAAAATGAGGACAATAACAGTACGTATTTCAAAGCAGAGTTGTGAACATCAAATGATGTAATTGATGTAAAGTCTTCAGCAGAAAGTATTAGCTGCTCTTGTGATGGCAGTGGGGTTGACTGGAAGAGCTAGGAGTGCACAGTCCTGTCTGTGGCACCAGGCTGCCAGATGGAGCCATGCCTCTTGATATGTTCCATTTCTGAACCATTTGCTTGGGAGGAGGGACACTTTTCCCTTTTCATTTGTAAATAGTGACTAATGTTCAGCACTGTATAGAAGCCGTCACATATTTCTAATGATGCTGAGGACCAGGAGTGCTCTAGGTACCAGGGGTCTAAGCTACCAGCTAATATCTGGTGTGGAATTTGTAATGAATCTAGGTAGCCCCATTGAAGCACAGCCAGGACTCTGTCCACACATTTCCATTGCCAAAGTCTGGATCTCTCTTTGATGCCTAGAAAAGGGGCTGGAGGACCCTTCCCTCTTCCTCTGGAGGTGGAGACCATCATGAGGTGGGAAGATGCTTGGGAGGTCTGGACCTGCCACCTCTTGCTGCATGACTCTTAGGTCACTCTTGCAGTTAGCTTTACAGTTAACTGAAATCCTGGAATCCTGAATGTTCTGCAGTGTTAGAGCTGGATGCTGATGAAAGTGTTAGAACCACACCCCAGAAAAATGAACTTCTGCTTTGCAGTTATCTAAAGTTACAGAATCCTGAGTTTCTTGAAGACTTAGAACTTAGAATCTAGTGAAAGCTTTGGAACTGGGCCTCAGAAAATTGCACAGATGCATAGCTATCTGAGTAATTTGAGCTTGTTTATGAATTCCTTGAAAACCTAGAGAGTTAGAAATCTTCGATTTAATACAATTGCTTTATTCTGTGGATAAGGGAAATGTGGCTCACAAGGGCACTGTGACTTTTCCCAAATTATATATCAATTGTAAGTCTCTGTACAGAGCTCTTTCTGTGACCTGAGAGGAAGAAGTCTGGAGAAGAGACAGACAAAGGCTTCTCCATTGTAGTGGCAAACATGCTGAAGCATGAGAGGTTTGGATTAGACATGGAGGTGTATTTTTTGCAACAGCTTTAGATATTGGAACAGGGTACGAAACTTCATACAACAAATGTTTAAAGAGTTCCTGATAGATGCCATGTCTCGTTCTAGTACTGGAAGTCTACAGCAATCTAGCAAACACGTAAAAATTCCTGCCTTCACTGAGGTGGCAAAAATAGGTTAATATCAAATAAACAATGAAAACACACAGTGAGTTAGGTGATTAGGTTTAAAGAAGAAAAATAAAGGTGAGAGGGAGGACTAGGAGGGGAGGGGTGGCTGGTGGCTTTCAGTTGTAATTAGGGTGGTGACCCACAAGAGCAGAGTCCCCGTGAAGGTACTTGATAAATCATCTTTGGTGAGGATCTGATAGATCTGATGGGGTATGGGCTTGCTTGCAAGAGGTGTTCACTACCTATTCATGTAGGAGTATTTGTCAGTGAGCTGAGCAGTTAGCCCAGCCCTCGTTAGAGCCCTACACATACAGCACTGCGGCCAACCTATTGAAGTCTTGCCCAGGGCCACCCAGGTGGTAAGTGGCAAAGTGGGCTCCAGTTTACAGAGCTCAGGGAAGTTTGGGGATCCTGTGGGGAGCTTGGGGAATGGGCTCCAAGGCATCCTCTCATCCACAGGTCAGGTACAGTGCGGGCAGGTGCACTGCCGGCTGCCTTACACCGCGCCCCCCGTCCACCTCAAAGCCGACATGGATGGGCCGCTCTCCAATCGGGGTGAGAAGGTAAATGGAGCCAGGCTGGGCCTGGTGGGTCGGAGCTTTCCTGTCAGGGATGGGTTTCTAGCAGCATTCCCTGTTACTGAATGGGCACCATGTCTCTCTGAGGCAGACCATCTCTGCCCATCCTGCTCAGGCTCCCACTGTGACCCCAATTCAGTCAATTGAGCAGCTGCCAATTTGTTCCCAGTGCATGGCCACTCCAAAGAGCCCCTTTCAGGTCCCCCTCTCCCACTGGCTGCAGGCCTTCTCTTTCTCAGACTGGAGAATTTACTTTACCTAAGCTTCGAGGTTCCAGGGAAGGTTTCCACCTCCTGTCATCTCACTGACTTTTTTTTTCTTCTTCCTCCTTTCTACTCCTGTCTGTTGAGAATGAATCCCTGGCGGGGCTCAGGGATGGGAGGGCAGCAAGAGAACTTGGTCAGCTGGCAGAGCCTCCCCTTTGGAACTGGATCTCTGGTTGTTCAGATGTTAGGACTAAGTATCCAGAGGAATGTTTAGACATACCATTTCCGTGGCCTGAGGGCTTTGTTTTGTAAGCACTAGAACCCTGTGTTTAATCTTGTCCATAATGCAGATGAAGGTAGACAGAGCTTCTTGGTGAAACTGCAGAGAGGATAGGAGACTCATTTCTTTCTCGGCTGAGACACTTCAGTTAGCCTTCAAAGCCCTTGTTCTAAGGCAGACACTCCTTTTAGAAGTAGTAAAATAGAGGCCCATGTAGCTCAAACTCAAGGCCTGGGTGAGAACCTATACATTTATTCACTTACTTCATGGAGATAAGCAAAGCACGGTCACTTCTCTTGAGGGGGCCACGGACTAGAAGGGAAGACAGTGTGATCAAACTGATGAGGAACACAAGGGATATGGGAAGGCATGGGGCAAAGGACAGATGTTGGGAAGGCTTCCTAGAGGAGGGCAGCTTTGGAACCCAGCCTGGAAGCTGAATCAGAGTTTATCAGGGAATGCAGAAGCCATCCTGACTTTTAGGGAACTGTGGGGCCCTTCAATGACCCTGGAACAAGGTTTAATGGGGAAAGTGGTGAGAAACAGGAGTCTGGAGCTGCCAGGTGGGCGATTTGGACTTCATTCTGGGGCAGCAGAGGAGGAAGGTGTTAGTTCTTGTAGAAGCATCACTGTGGTGGTCCTCTGAGAGGCAGGGTAAGAGGATGTGCTTTGTGAGGCAGGAAGCACACTGCATCAGCAGGTACCTGCACCTAGGTAGAGAAGGACCCTCCAGTCCAGTGGATTCCAGTCATGGTATAGCTTGGACTCATGTGGGAAGCTTGGAAAGGTATAGATTTCCAAACCAAAGATTTGAGTAGGGAGGTTTGAGTTGGGCCACAGGGATCTGCATGTGTCATGTGCCACCCATGAGAAATTCTGAAGGGCAGCCTGGGGTGGTGAGCACTCTTTGAGGATGTTTCCTCTAGCTCTGACTCCTGCTTTGCATGTGCTGGACTCTGCAAAGGATATCACTAGGGAATGTCTATAGTGTGGTAATATAGAGAGCCTAGTTGGGCAGACATATTTACATGTAAATGGCAGTAGTCAATACAAGAATCTGGAAACAGGTGAGAACACCCCAGGAAAGTCCGTTCTGAGACAGTCATATTCACAGTAAGAGCTGCTGTTTATTGAGCTCTTTCTGCTTGAGACAAGCACTTTGCACACATCATCTAGTTGATACCTCCCAGTCACCTTCTGGGTATGAAGATGGCCTTCCTCAAGTAAAGACGACATGATTTGTCCAGGGATGTGGTGGATCTATTGGACTCTGAAGTCCGTGGAGTTTGCAGAGTACTTGAGAGTTGATACAGTGCTCTCTCTGACCTCATCTTTCACAGCCTCACTGGGAGGACGATTATGATGATCTGTGTTTCATACCTGTAGAAACTGAGGCTCATGAACAGGCTCATAAACTTTGTCCAGGATCACTCTGAGCGTGAGCATACCTTAATTCTATGACTGCCTGCCTCGAGAATATGTCCTCTTGGCTTTGGGACTGAGGACAAGCTGGCATGATCTCTGCCTACAAGAAGCTTGTGGTTTAAACAGGACATGGGTAGTTACACTACACTGTGATGCAGCTGATGTGGGGGACAACCATGGCTTTGGAGGACCTAGAAGGAGAGTGACAAACTCTTGGGGAGAAAGACATTCCATGTCAAGAGCAAGTATACACAGAGGAGCAGAGAGGAGCAGGTTTGAGTGGGGCGTTTGATGTGGCCGAGGCCCGGGGAAGTGGAGAAGCTGACAGGGGCCATATAATTCAGGGCTTGGTCCACTGAGGGAAGCAGGTGGGTCTTGGAAGTGTATGGGGCTGGTCTCAGCACTTGGAGAGGAGCCCTTGTCTCCTGGTTGCTCAGCTAAATTTGTGCTTATGTGTGGTTTAGCCTGAAAAATGAGCCAGGCAAAGCTCTGGCAGCTTTGGCTCTAGGTTTCTGGCCCCTGGGTTTGTCTCCTGAGCCAGAATTCTCTTTCTGGGGTGTTTCCCCAGCGTTGTATCCAGAAGTTTTGCATTAAAGGGTGTCTCCCTCCTTCATGACCTACTGCCCTCTCACTGTGAGGCCTTCTGCCAGCTCCAGGGATCTTTCTGTTCACATCCTACTGGACCTTTAGGCCCTGGTGGGTCACCGGGAGTGGGCTGGGCAGTCAACTCAGCACTCCATAGGCTTTCTCCCAAGGCCCTCCATGCCTGGTTGTGAGAAGACTCAGTTTCCCCGCTAGGCCCGGTCCCTGAACCCACTCATCCAGACCAGCACTGGCCTGGCCAGAACAATGCCCTGGACATTCTCAGGGGAGCTTCCTGTCTCCACTGCATCATCGTTTGGCCACACATCCCTGTGAGTTTCCAGAACCACATTTCTTCCTCATCCCACAACTGTAGCACTTGGAAGGTTTTCAGAACCAAGCTACCGTTGATCAGATAGAGAGAAAGGGTCTGACTAGGGTCATTCCTTTTGAGCAAGCTTCTCTTAATGTAAGCCCAAAGCCACATGTCCTGCAGGCCAAAGGAAACAGTACTCGAGGCCAGGTGAGAGATGCTACCTGAGCTCTGGAATCCCTGGGTCCCACATTTGCTATCTCTGAGACCCTGAAGCATAAGCTTTTTGGAGCTTCAGTTTTCGCATCTGCAAAATGGGGATAATAATAATTTCAGCCACCCAGGGCTGCTGTGGAGAGTAATGCAATGATATGAAGAGTCTAGCACGGTACCTGATACACAGAACGTGCTCCATGGGTGCTGGTTATTATTTGATTACAAAAATCCCACCTTATACAAGGGGGGATTTGTTCTAAGGCCCCTAGTGGATGGATGCCTGAAACCATGGATATTTGCTGTAGGTGTTTTTGTTGTTGTTGTTGTTGTTGTTGTTACCAGGGATCAAACTCAGGACCTTGTGATTGCAAGGCAAGTAGCAGCACCACTGAGCTAAATCCCTGGCCTTGAAACCATGGATAATACTGAACCGTATATACATTTTTTTCCCAAACATATATAACTATGATAAAAGTTTTTTTTTTTTTTTTGCAAATTAGGCACAGAAAAGATTAACAACAGTAAGGGCCGGAGATTTAGTTTGATGGTTCCGCTGCCTTTCTCACAAGCTCAAGGACCTGAGTTCAATCCCTGGTACCAAAAAAAAAAAAAAAAAAA